TTTTATGTACAAATTAAATTGCAAGATAATCAAATATAATTGGATAGTAAATTTGTATCACTAAATTTTGTTGAAATTTCATATAAATATAAAATTATTTCAATAATTTGCATTTAAATATCTAACAAGACAATAATATTACTAGAAGATCTTCATTATAATAATGTTAATATAGTTATGACACAAAATAAACTTTTAGAATTAAAATAAAATTGTGAAACCATGCATCTTGTTAATTCAGATATGTATTTCAAAATATATGTATTTATATATTGCTTGTAATAATTCTAAATCATATTATGATTTTTTAAAATATTTATGTAGTAGTTATGTAGTAGGCAAAAAATATTCTAATTTCAATTTATAAAATTGATAACTTATTTTATAAATATAAAAAAAAAAACCTGAACTGAAAATCATTTTCAGATTGTTTGCAAAGTCGAATGAATATTAATTATTAAATTAATTAAAAAATTATAAATTTAATGAATATATTTAAAAAAAATTTTTAAAATAAATTTATTTCCAAGGATACCTTAAAATTTCAAATAAACAAATTCAGATCTAAAAAACTAAAGATAAAATTATGGTATTTATCAAATTATTTTTTTTAAATTAAAAATTTTATTTATTTATTTTTTCCTATTTTAATTATCATTTTTATTTATTGAAATCATTGAATTTAATTTAAAATTTATATGAAATTAAAATCAATATATATATATACACAATTTCTTCTAGAATAACAAATTTAAATAATTTATTTAATTAATAATTCATCCGAAAAAATAGAAAAAAAAAATCGAAAATAACACACATTTTAATATAATAAAAAAATATATAAAAATTAATTTTCAATTTGCAAAAATATTTTGTTTTTCCAAAACTAAATCACTTTAATATATTAGGTACGTTCAGATTAAAATAAAATTTCAACCCCAATTATTTAATTAATTCGATTTTATATTTATTATTTTGGTTACATTCTTTTCAACATATATAATATAGACTTTTTGTTTTTATTTATGGTTATTTATATTTTTAATATTTACAAGTTTTAGGTAAAGCATTTTTCAATATTTCAGCAGTTTTTTTTATTTTATTCGTTTTTTAATATTATATGGCCATTATGAAATAAGGAAAAAAATATTAACATTTTTCATTTATTATTTGATCGATTTTTTTGTAATTAAATATTTTGAAATTATTTTTTTAATTAGGCAAAAAAGGAAAATTAATATTTTTAATTTGTTAAAGGTTTTTCATTTTATTTATCGCGAATTTACCAAAACTTGAATAAAATTAATATTTTTATGACAACAATTTACTTTGCTGTCAAAATTAAAATAATTTCACACAATGTTGTTCCAACCGACTGCACATAATGGCAGTGTTGGGATACTGGCATTTTTGATGCCAAATTTATCGTAATGGATTTTAGTTTTGCAATGAGTTTCTTAAAGATTATGCCAAATGAATTTTTTGTATAATAGAGTTTTGAAAGGAAAACTTCATGAATGAAATTTTTGAACTTCCGAGATTTTAAAATTCGGTATAAAATGTAGTTATTTTAAAATAAAGAATAATAATATTGAGTAAAATTAATGAAAATTTTTTAAAGCTTTGATATTCTCTTACTTTTAAACTCTTTTTATTCTATCTGTCTTTAATAATTTTTTTTTTGTGTTGATTGCAAAGAAATTGTCAGCGAACTTTAAATTACAATAAAAATATGACGTAATTCTAAAGGGTATTTAAATTTTTGGAATTAAATAATACTGCACACAAATTTTTCATAATATATTGAGAACATTTTAAGCTTATAAATTTTTTAATTTATTAAAGCATTTCAATTTTTAATTTGTCATAGTTTTGTTTTTCAATATAAAAATATTTTTTTTTAATTTAAAGTAGGAATGTAATTAATTTTTCACATACATACATATATAAATTTTGATTCTTAAATCAAATTGAAAAAAAAATAATTTAAAATTAAAATTATTAAAATTATAAATTGCTAGTAAGGAATGTATAATGGAAATTTTGTTGGAAAAATTTTTAAAGTTGAAAAGAATTTTCTTCGTTGTTTCTTTTAATAATTTAAATTAAATTTAATATTGCGAATTCTTATCCTTTTTCAAATTAAAACAATAATTATTTTTTTTTTATGTTTTTATAAGAAAAATAATTTTTTTTTCTATTTGATATTTATTTTTAATTTATTTTAAATAATTTAGATAACTTTTGTATATTTTTCTTTACTCATAGGATTTTTATTTTAATTTTGATAAATTCATAGTATAAATAATTAATTTGGGTTTTTTCAATCCTCAATTGCATATAGAAAAAAAATTTTTTTTTAAATAAAAGTTATTTGAAAAAAAAAATTGAAAATATTGAATGACTTATAATATGTGTATGTGTGTTTGTAATTTATCATTTAAAAAATTTAAATATTTATTTATTTATTTTGGTTTTCAAACTTATTTATGGCATTTTTTTCAAGTTTATACTTTGTTTATGTATTATGTATGTTTATATATGATTGTAAGTATGTGTATATGTTTATAACAAAGCAAAACATTTAATTATTATAATATTTATTTTATACAAATTTATTTTTTTTTTGTTTTCGTTTTTCGGTACACAATTAATTCAAGTATGAAAAACATAGTATGCACATACATATGTAATTATAAATTATTTGTATATAAAGGTATGTAAACATGTTTTTTTTTTGGTTTCAAATTTCTTTACAATAAAATTGTACAACATTCCCAGTATTGTACAATAATAATAGTATCTACGTAATTAGATGGTTTATTTTTCAAATGGCCCAAGTCTATTTCAATTAAAAATGAAATATTGCTCCGTTTGGGTTTATAAAGTAACCAAATGGTTAAATGGTTATTTGCTTTATATAGAATATTTATTTTCCTATCCGACATAGTTGAGTTTCAATTCCAATTATTGACATTATCATTGCTTTGGAAACAAGATATTTTTGAAATTACAAATGGACTTATGCCACTTTCCGAGTAAACCATTCAAATATAATTTGAAAGAAAAATTTGTACATATTCCAATAGTTTAATACAATTCAATTTCGATAAATTAAAATATTATTCTTACGGTTATTAAAAATTTTAAATTTAATATAATAATTTAAATTTGAAATAAAAATTTCAAATAAATAAATAAATTTAAATTTCATAAAATATCATAAGGACAAGCAGATTATTTTACATGTCTTAAACTTAAATTTAATAAAGGGATTTAAGTATTCAAAATAAATTTTTGTAGTTATAAAATAATTTCGTAAAATATTTAAAAATCAAAATTTTTCTATAAGTGGTTTTGCGTTAGTCGCAAATTATGATTATTAGTAACGAGTTTATAGGCTTCTTATTTAAATTATTTTAGTTTTTGTACATTTCAGACAAATATAACTGTTGTCTAATATATTATGAGTAAAACAGATTTTTTATATTGTATTTGAAAATATAAGAATTTTAATTGCTTTCAGATAGACAAATCTTTAAATAAACGAGACTGTATTGTATAGGCAATTTGTTTTTATTGAAAATTTTAAAACAAAATTGAACAAGAAAAATTAAAGTTGTTAAAAGTATTTAATAAAAAAAGTGAGGAAAATTTCTATGTGCTTATGTTCCTTTGACCAATAAATAGTTGTGTAAAATTCAAACATTTGCAAAAATGTTCAACATGCAAAAAACAAAGAAGGAGAACAGAAACTTTTTAATAGAACAAACATACTTTAAAAAACTTATAAACTATTTTTTTTAAAAACAAAAAATTGTACTTTTTTTCAGTTTCATAAAATCTGTGGTATAAAGAAAACACTATATAACTCTAAAATCTGGAGTTTAAAGTTTTGAACTCATCACTAAAATCAGATAGTTGCTCTATAATAAAATTTCATTGAGCGTTCATTTAAGTGAGTTATAATAAACAATATGAGATCGTCCCAAAACTAGAAAAAGTTGTTTACTTTTTGCTTCAAATATTAATGTAAAATCAGATTATAGAAAAAATCTAATTTCATCATATTAACGTATTCATATTGTAACCTTTTCTTCCATATGTTGGTTCAAAATGCTTTACGTCGTCTTCGTCTTAAAACATTATTTGACTTGGATTTCGACAATTAGTTTTTTTATCTTAATTTGAATGATATTAGCAAAGAAATAAGAAATTCCGCAAAATTACGAAAAATTAAACAAAGAATTTAAATATCTAATTTTTGTCATAGGTCGATTTATGTGTTAATTTTCCTGCAAGCTACAAAAATAAGTTTTCGTTTTAAAGAATTCAAAAAAATATCTTCTGAATTTAAAAATATGTTCTCAAAAAAGCTAATTTTTCAAAATGTTTCTGGTGTACAAAAATAATTATAGTTAAAAAATTAAAGAAATATTAACAATGGGTACTAAATAAACCAGTTTTTGTATAGCAGTACCATATATTACGGATAAACCATATTACCCCACCTTACAATGAACATTAAACCACTTATTTTGAAGTAAGTTAATGTAGGAATATGCACAAATTTTCCATTTCGAGAGAAAACATTTTCCATAATATCAATTTAAATTTTAATTACAATATTCAATATTCAATAATCTTCATCCATTTTATGAGATTTTCCATTGATTCAATTAATTTAAACTAGTTACTTATGTTTTTATTAAAATAAAATTTATATTTTTAAAAGCAAATTAAGCTTTTAACTTTGAATTTTAAAATTAGTAGAAAAAATTAAAATTAATTCTTTATTTAATTTATTATTAATAATAATATGAAAATATAAATTTATTATGAAAATATATAAATTTTAACTTTATTGAAATTCTTTCTACTTATATACCAAAAATAATATTAAATTTCAATTATTTTCAAATTTTCTTTTTTTTTTATAATTTTAAAAATAAATTAATGCGAGTTCTTTTTCATTTATGAAAAATATAAAATGTGTTTGAATTAAAAATTTCGAGTTTTTATTTTATTTATTAATTTTTTCATTAATTATTTTTTAATATTTTTTATATATATATATATAAGAGTTTATAATTCCATATAGCATTATTATTTAAAATACATTTAAGCCATAATTTTTATTACACAGCAATTAATTGTTTATTTTTAATTTTTGTTTTTTGTCGAGCCTTTAAAATTAGGAATTAGGGTACACTTAGTGATTTTTTAATTTTATAATCTACATATATTAAATTTTTTTATAATTATTATTATTTAAATTAAGTTAAAAAATATATATATATAATATATATAGGATAACATAAAAATTATATTTACACAAAGGAAAATTTTAATTTTAATTTTTAGTGTGTAGTTGTTTATTTTTTTTAATGTTATATATTTTACCAATTTTTTAATTTAATTTACAATTAATTATGTTAATGACTTAATTTGGTGGAGCTCGCCTCCTCAGTAAAAATGCTTTTCTAAATAGTTTTTGTGGTACTCTAGATATTTCATTTTCCGGTCATCTTTCCATTAAATGAATCTGTTTTGAAAATAAAGAAAGAAATGAATTTATTAAGTTTTACATTTGTGTGTAGATTTAGTTAAAAAATATAAATTTAAAAGCTTTATTGGTGCTATAACTGAATTTGAATTCCTTTTTAAAGAATATATGAAACTGTGTTCTTTATTCTTAAGTGTTGCATACATTTAGGAGAAGAACAAAAGTTTTATTGCAAAAGAGGACATTTTATAGTTAATTCTTAGCTTCAGTAGAAATTTGAGAAAGTTGAGCTTAGTTTCAGCGAAATGAGATTCATAACGAGCTATTTGTATGTGAAATTATTTATTTTTCACTAAAAGAGCTGTGTATAGTAATTTTGTAAACATATACATGAATAAACAGGCGGATAGACGGACAGAATAGATCTAATAAGCACATTATTTTTTCTAATTTTGTAAGAACAATGTGCTAAAAACAAGTTATAAAACAATTAATTAATTAAAATAAACTTATTACTAGTAAGGTGTTTATTGTTAGTATTTTGTATAAAATTTATGATAAAAGGACATCATGAAAAATTATTATTAATAAGTGTTTATTGTTATGGGGGAACAATAGAATACATAGAAGAAAATTTAGCAATGAGAACCCGTAAACACGCAATAATTTTTTATTACATGGTTTTGCACCTATATTATAGTTTTAAATTGTTTCTAACGTAAGTTCATTTTATTTTTGTTTTCCTATATTCTTATTGTTTTATGGTAGGTATAATAAATTTGCTTTACAAGGAAGATAGTATAGATCTAGTAATAATACGAATATTTTCCATTTTTACAGAATAATTGAAACACTAAAAATATTAATAACGATAGAAGTTGTTATTCATTCCGTAATTATTGTAATTAATTAATCAAGCTTACAATTATTTTGGTATTGTATATAAGTAAGATTTTGCAAATATGACTGAAGTACCGTTAACATTTACAATTTAATTGCTAACAAACAATTGGAAAAATTATAATTGAAAATGTTTTCTGTTATTTAAAGTAAAAGTGTTTTAATTTTAATAAGATTTTATCAGTCTAATGTAATTACTGTTATATAATTCGAAATTAAATGAGAAATTGTAGGAGATAATACAAATTTATACACAAATACCTTATATTAAATTATGCAAAAGTGTCAATATTTCAAATATATTCGTACTTATAAAAATATTGTTATATATACTTACTTCACTTAATAATGCCCAATTTTCACTATCACTATGTACATGTAATCGTATCTCTTTAATTGGTCCAATTTTTGGATCAATATTACCTTCAGCTAATCCAAATGCATTAAAACTACCAATTATTAGAAAACCATCTGTTGTTGAATTATATGTGCTCCAAATTAATGAATTCTCATTCAATGAATCTGGTAATATTTCAACTGTTGTATTATAAAATCTATCGGAGGGATGTTCAACATTTCCACTACGAAACAAATAGCTGATGATGATGATTTTTGTTTCATTCATTGTTTTTATAATTTCAAAAGGATATCGGATGAATATAAATTGCGTTTTTTTTTAATGAAAAAAAATAATAGAGAAAATTGTTATGATTAAATTTTTTATTATTTGAATTAATATAATTTTATAACAAAATGTTATTTATATATGTAATATTAATTTTATTAATTATTATTTATTAATGGGAAAATAGAAACAAAAAGTTCCACGTGTAACATTCTTGCATGGTAACAAAAGAACACGCAAATAATTAATTACGCCCTTTTTCAATACAAATCGGATCATTGTCCTTTATTGATTTATACTTAGAAATTATGGTCGATCTCTAGGAAATAAATCTAGAACTAAACTAAAATAATTACGAATAATAAAAGGTTTATAATAATAAAAGGTTTTATTATAAAATGAATTTTGAATATAAAGAGAAAATCAAAGTGTTATAGTAAAGTAGAGCGGCTTTTTCACTTAGCTAAATAGTTTTTAGTATTTATTTTGCATATTTTTAGGGAAATGTCTTAAAATTTCTTGGAATAAGGAAATTTAGAATGTGATGCAGAAAGTTTAACTACAAAACGCTTTGTAAATGCCGTATAAAGCATTTTTTATTTTTGTCAATTTAACATCAATTGAAAATTCGAGAGGAGATACTTCAATTTTGTAGATATAAGGTAAGGCACCGGATTCAGATGTAATTGTGATAAACAATTATTATAAAGAATTTAAAAAAAAATAAAGACTAATCAGTGCGTAAATCAGTAGTCAAAAAGCAAATTTGTGCATGTCCACTTTTTTTTCGAAAATTAGGTTCATGACATGAAAAATTTTTTCAAACATGACCAACCTCTTAGAACACGAGATGTAGTTCTGAGTAAAACTGAAATAATATATAAGTTACAAAAAGCTCCATTTGTAAACTGACAGAATCACTAACTAAATTTTTATTAACTCAGAGCCAACCTTGCAATATTACATTATTCTCAACAATACGAAAACAAATCTGCTATTTTTGTCAAATTTCAATTAAATGATCTTTTTACATTCTACGCTATTTTAATTTTTCCAGCCTAATTTTGAAATTAGAAAAAATATCTGTTTTGCCTTTCTATTTCCAAAATTTTGAAAACATTTTACAAAATAACGCAAAGTTAATTATGCCAAAACTGTCAAACAGCTTCAAAATCAAACGAGAGTAAATGAGAATTGAGTGTACTAAAAAAATCGAAATTTTATAATACTAATTAAATAAATTTTAAACAAAAACTACTTATAATATAAATTTTATTTTATTTACAGAATAAAAAGGCTATAAAACGTAATTGAATTGAGTACAAATATTTAACGATAAAACAGAAATAAATATTAGAACAGGATATAGGATGGTCCTTTTGTGAATAAGAGACTCGCAAACATTTACTATACAAAATATATGTGTACGTACGTATGTATTGGCTATTTTATAAAAAAATTATTCTTTTCATTTTACTTGATTAATTTTTTTTTATTTATTTATTTATTTATTATATTCTCAAAATACCTACAATATTCTCTAACGTTTCTTAATATTTATATATAAAATACTCAATATTTATATATATATACATATACATGTATACATATTTATAAAACTTACCTCTTGAGATTAATTGGATGATTAAAAATGAATTCAACTAAATCACCGGGCTGTGGTAATAAACCCCAAAAATAGGTTTCACCTTTATATGCTCTTTTTAAATGAAAATTTTTATATGGTGCAATACCAGTTTTTAATATGGCAGGTGGGTTATCATGTGGATAATAACTTGGTATTTTACCAAATTGTTTATCTTTTAATTTTTGAACTTTACCTTTTAATGATGATGTTGTACCAATATGTTGAAATAATGATGGTTTTATATGTAACCAATATTTTGCTTTTTCCTGTTTACAATGTTTATGATCCTTTTCAACATTACAAACTTTTGTATCAATTAAACTTTCTAATAGCCAATCAACTGGTTTATCATTATAAAACATTTGAAAGAATGTTATTAACCAATGTAATTCAGCTGATTTAAACATTTTACCTAAAAAATAGAGAATATTATGAAAATTTTTTAAAATAGAGTAGAGTAAGAGCACATTTATAAATTTTGAATTAGAGGGGCTGCAATTAAAATTAATTTAAAATTTGATTTCTAAGTATTTTATAAGTTTAGTCTTCTATCTCAAAGTGCCATTAATGCGATAATGCAATGAACTCAACCAAAATATTTCTGTATAAACTTGGAAGGCAATTATTTAGAAAATTGACCTAAATTGATTCCGTAAAATGAGACTTTCAAAAGAAAATAAATTATTAAATGGTTTTTTCACAATAATTTCTCTAGCTAGGTTGGGCATACAATCAATAATTTTGTGATTAAAATAAAATTTTTAATACGATTATTTTGAAAAGTTTTTTTCTTTTTGCTTAATTGGAAAATTCATCAATTTGCATTTCTTCTAATTCAGGGGGAAATTGTATTAAGTGCAGTATTAAATTGTTGATTGCAAAATGATGAGTGTTTGACCATTTAAATTGATCCTTATACAATTTGGAACATTTAGTTATAAAACAAAATTGTATTTTCATTTATTTTTAAAAAAATTTTTATGATTAAGTTCAAAGCCTTTTTAATGGTCTAATAAAAAATATAAAATTGAATTCCCGTAGAAAATTTTGGAAAGTCCAGTGTGAAAGTTCAATGTAATTCTTCCATAATTTTATGAGAAGTTGTGTAAAAATTATAATAAATTTTAATATCTAGTACGTATTAGAAACAATTTTTGTGGGAGTACTATTTTACATTATCTTGCTTGTAATACAGTTTTCGGTACATGATTACATGAAATTTACATTTTGTACATATGAAAGTAAAGATCTACATATATGCTTACCAATAAATCCCAATTGACAGAAATCTAATACCATCCATGGGGTTTTTTTATTCGATGTTTTTTCAATTGCAAATTTTTTCATAATTGAAATGAAACCTTTTTTAGCTAATATATCATCTTCTAATTGTACATAAAATGTACCCTTTGGTTGTGCATATGCCATTAAAAATGAAAAATCTAAATTTTGTTTTGATCTCCATTTAACCCGTTCCAGCGGATCATTTAATGTTATACGTAATTTATCAAAATTTGGATAATATGATGGTGATGGTGATATTACTTCAATTAAACCTTGTTCAACAAATGGTGCAAATCTAACTTCAATTTGTTTTGCTGTTAATGATACATAATCCATATCTGTTTCACCAATATATACAATTATTAATGTTTCATTTTGTTCTGTTTCATCCATATTTGATATTAAATTTTGTAATGTTGACATTAAATAACTTTGTTTATCACGTTTAACAGTTGGTACACCTAAAACTATTGTTACACCTGTACGTCCTTTTGTTAATAATAAATTTGGTTTTAATGACATTGGATCATCTAATAAATGTGGTAAAAAATGAAATGCTGTTGGAAAACGTAAACTAGATGGAAATCTAGCTGATAATGTTGTATTTTTTAATATTATTCGTGCTTCTGGACTTAATGAATCTAATAATGAATTATTCATATTAAATATATTATTTGTTATATTATTATCTGATGTACCATAATTATTTAATATTATATTATTATTATTATTAATATTATTTAATGGTAAACCTAAATTATTTAGTGCATTATTATAATTATTGGCACCACTGATATTTGAATTCGTTGTTAAACCTAAATATTGTGATAATATTGCAACATCCTCTTGACGAGCTCTATACATTGATTCTAAGTACTGTAAACGCATTTGATATTCAGCTAAACGTTGTGATAATGTTTGTTCAGCTGATAAATCTGCAATGAATAGTTTTGAAAAAAAAAAATTTATAAAAAAATTTGTTATAAAATAGTTGCATAGTTTTAGAATTCATTTAATTTTTCTATATTGAATAAAAATTTTTTATCAATAAATTCATAAAATATTTGCATATAGAATTTCGTGTATGAATGTACGTATATTATGTTTTAATATAGAAATTCCTTTTATTTAAAGTAATTTTAGTATGAATTTATCATGTTGTAACAATTTATTGGAACATATTGCCTGTTGTATAAGTATATATATATTTATATATGGGGATTTTTTAAACCATCAATTAAAGGTGAATTAATCATTTTTGTTTTGAAATATGATAGACAGTTTCCTCTAATTCTTTTTTAATAATTACTATACGAGTTCAGAAAGCTTTCCCTTTATTCCATATAAGCAATGTTTAAATTACTTTTACTCCTCCATACGAGTATATTGGTTTAATCTGTACATGGAATCTATATACATATTGTATTGTAACCCTTTTTTTATTATTAAAAATAACTCCTTTGTCATATTGCTATTCTACATATATTTAATATCATAAATTATGCTTGATGTATTGTAAAAAAAGTTACCGTAAGGTGTATATGCACTAAAATTGTATTTTATGACGAAAAATAAATTTAACCTTTTGTAATTTATGAAATTTTATAAATAATACAGTGATTTTATGTTTTTATAATACGAGTATATATAGATCTAGGAAAATGGAAGTAATAAATTCTACGTGTACAATATAATTTAAAGGGAGTAATTTTATATAACTATATAGAAAAATAGGAACTACCAATAAAAAATGATATATGAGTACCTGTACTAATAAAATAGAGTATGTACTTATTATGTAATTTTGTTTTAGAAACTTAACTAAATTAAGGGCTTAGAAAATTATTACGCACAAATATGTTGTAAATCATATTTAAATTAAGTAATTATTATATGGTTTTTTGTTCTAATTTTGTGTACAATATTATGTAGAATAGTTTTGAAACAGATTTTTAAAAATTTTTGAGTAAATCGGAAGTGTGTTATTGACGAGTTTTATATTTTATAAATCTACTCTATTATCATTTTTATTTGACATTAATTATTGTCACATTAATTTTATTTTGTTAACAAAATTCTACCAATAAACATCTGAAAGAAGCATAACACTTGTATACAGTTTTTTAGCTTTGGAGTTTTTAAAAGGGTTTTATATAATTTTTTCAGAAATAGGTTGCTTATAAAAAAGAATAAACGAGAAAAAATAGAGTTGACCGTGTAAACTCTGTGATTGTTTTTTTTTTTTTTTTTTTTTTTTCCTTTGTTCACTCCTAGAAGGAGCATAGGGCTAGTGCATGATTTCTCATGCACTAGTTTCATAGCGTCATAGGGTTTAACTAGGTAGGTGACTAGCCTGCCGTATGCAAACTCTGTGATACTCGTACGAATTTGTCGTATACTGTGTACGAGTAAATATATGCCATAGATAATCAGTAGTTAATTTTTGGTCCTGGCGTTCAGAATGTTCGAATATAAAGAATATTGGGTTAAGGTATTAACTTAAAAAAACTGTTTCTATGCATAAAGTAATAAATTTATTTAAATTTTTAGCTTGAATTGAAATCTTACAAATACACGAAATTAAAAAAAATAAAAGTCATATAAACTATTGATAAATGTAACTGTCAGAAATAAAGTGTTTTTGACAGTGAAGTGCATAACATTTTCGGAATGCGTATATTTTAATAACACAGTTTATTTTCTAAAATTAATATTCTTACTGAGTTAAGATTATGATTGTTTCTGTAAAGGAATAAAGACTGCACTCTACTAGCAAATTATTTATTCAAAATTTCTAAAAATCAAATTGATATTTAATTTTCTTTTTAATAAATTATAAATCTTTGTGCATTCTTAATTTATAATTGTTATTAAAAAAAAATAATAAATTACAATTTTATTTTAATTTTATTAGCCATCTTAATATTTTATTTTCATAAAAAAGAAAAGACGTGCAATGTTTTAAAAAATTATTTTAAAAATTATAATAAACTTTGTCAAACATAAATACTATTATAATATCTATTATACTATTATACTGTAAAATTTATAAGACACTAAAATTAAATAATTCAAAACGATTTATAAGAATATTGTAAATGTGTGGTTATGTCATAAAAAAGTATTTTATTATAGACATGTGCTCATGTCATAAAATGATTGAATTAATATGGAAAAACGAATTCAATGAATTAATTTCTTAACAAAAGTCTATTTACATATGTTATACATAGATTTTATATGTATTTACATACATATACTCATGTATGTATATTCTATTCTGAGTATAAAAAATTTTAATTTTATTTTACATTTTTAATTCATTTTATTCGCTATTTTTCCTCTTTGTACTTTATTTTTATGATACCCTTTAGAATTTTCATAATGGAATTATAAAATCAAATAAATATATTATATTATTTGTTTGTGTATAACACTTTCATTCTAGTTATTTGTTTAATTACATAAAATGTCAAAATAGGCAATTAAAATCAAGACAATTAAAAATAGAATCAATGAAATTTTAATTATGCGTAATTTTAACAAAAATTAAGCGAAAATATAACGGAATGGGATTTAAAAGATAAAAAGAAAATAAAAAAAAATATTTTCACATTTTTAAGCTTTTATTTTTAGTTCTTGTTCTCTTTAAGAACTTTTATGGGAAGGAATAAATAAATAAGAGAATTTATTGAAAATAATTCCTAAAAATATGCAATTAAAAGTTATACGCTTTAACAAATTTCAGTTTATAGTATTACCAAGTATTAGAAATTATCGATACAAGTAGATAATCAGGAAAAAGAGAATTAAAACAAGGGTCGAATGATAGACGACTTTTGCGAAGCAAAATGTGCATACCTTGATATAAGACCAAAACAAGACAAAGTTTTATTATATGCACGTATACCACATATGTATATACTTTAAGCTTTCTCGTATAAGTATGTATATACTTGTATGTACTTATGGAAATATATTTTTGCATTCTTATATATTATAATGTATTATTGCATAACAATGAGAAGAACAAAATTGAAAAGGGGTACAAAAAGTAAACAAAAAATTTTTTTTTTGTTTTTATTCTAAAACGTCACACTTATTTTATTTTTTTCTCTTTGTAAGGCTTCATTCTTATGATTTATCCGCATTTTGTTGACACAAAGAATCAGTTCTCCTATTTTTTCTTTGTCTATAGTTGTTTTTTGTTTTCTCCTGCATGTTTTTCAATTTTGCTTTAATTTATAATAATATAATACATTGACCTTGACAATAAATAACGACTACATAGATTGACATTTAAAAATAATAAAAAAAAAGGACAAATAGTTTTAATTTTTGTCATTGAATTTGCATATAAATTTTAAATACAGTTGAATGTAGAGCAATTGAAAAATGAATGTAGAGGGAAATACTTTTTTGTACATATTGTTATAATGGGACATGATTACATTTCTAAAAAATTTGTTAATTTCTTGATAGATTTACGTTATATGCTATGAAAATTAAATCGTTGACAAAATTTCTTCTGTCAAAGACATGAATACATATAACTGAAAATACCTACAAACACATTGTTTTACTATTGTTACATTTGTATATGAAATTTTTTGTATTATATATTTAAGTCTCCTATGTAATTTAAGAAAGTAATGGTACGAGTATACTAAAAATTTCTATTGTTAAGAATACTTGCTCTTCTGTTGATTGTTAATTAAATATTATTTTTTCCCGCAAAAAAAAGTAAATGGTACTAAAGTAAATTTATAGTAATTTGGTTAATTTTCTTTTTCGATACGCTAATAAATAATTGCATACATATTTGCATACATAACGAAAATCAAAATGTTTATTTACGTTATGTGATGTACGACATTATTCAAATCCAATTCAAATAAATAATTTTCTAGATCTTAATAGTATTTTTGCATTCTTGCCTAATTTCTCCAATGATACTGCAATTTTTATTCCTATTTGAAGTTTACAATTTTAATATAATGCATGCAGCGGACATTTTTACGCAATTGTTCGATATTTTTGTTTACATAACTATTTCGCATCTTACTTTTTACCTTATTGAAATGAAAATTAGTTATAATATAATGTACAGTGACATCTGCAGCTTTGCCCTAAAATAACATGGGTGATAATGCAAAATATATGTGGTCACTTTACGGTAAATGTTATTCAGCTCACATAGTACAAACATCTTTTATTAAATTTTTATCTCAAAAATATTTTTACTCTTGTAATTTTTATACATTTATCTTATCTTATAGGTAACTACTTATGTGCAATATACCCTATATAAAATTTTTTTAACAAACTTGTTTCCGTACAGCAGTTCTACCAATAAAATAGCATAAACCCTTGTATAAAATTAAATTTCCTATCGCTATTAAAACCAAAAATATGCTATAGAGAAAAAAAATTAAAAAAATAGAGGGAAGATCAAAATCAATTAATTTCAAAGATAAAAACTGGTAATCTATACAAGGGATGTATATGTATATATATGTGTGTATATTTAGAAAATCGATAAAGTTGAAAAGAATTAAAATTTTAATTAAAAACTTTTTTACATAACTTTTAAGAGAAGGAAAAACAAAATTTCTCGTTAAATATCTTATTCTGCAATTTCCAATAAGAATAGCAGCTTATGATTTTCATCAATATTTTCTTAATAAATTAAATTTAAAAAAATATTTTAATATCGTAGAAAATTTTCTATAGTGTATATTTAATAATATTGTATAGCCTTTAATACGGAAATATAATTTACCATAGAAATACTAAAAGATTTTTAAGATTTTTAAGATTTTTAATAAAATTGGACCCTCAAATAATTATAATTAATACAGGGTGGTTCATTATATGTATAGCACTCTTTATTTCTTTTTAGCTATATCTCCTGTACTATACGAGTATAATTTTT